AAAAGTTTTTATACAAACCTCCTATCAGCTTAATCGTTTACACAATTATTGGCTATTGTTACTGAGGTCCAATGGAAGTCGGTTTCTAAGAAGTTGATATAATTCTAAGAAACTTCAATCATACTTTGAATGCAATTTTTATAACCTATTTTCTATAGAAAATTCGGGACATTTTGTTTAAACCATATTTTCACTGCTTTCAGATACTAAATCAGTCGAGATGAGCTCTGATACCATGTTGATAATTGTATTTTCAAAGAGTATTTTTTTTAAAAAGTAGTCCGCTTTCAGTGTGTCCGGCCACTTGGGACGGTTGGCAGTGTTTCAACAACGCCGTTCCGGGCCACGCCGTCGAGGGCCACTGTCCGGCATATATCTACGGGGAAGCCACCACACCGGACGCATCACAGAGTGCTGTAAAAGTCTCATATGTGGAATTCTTTTTACATTTACATTAACTTTTAACTTTAAATATAAGTACTTAATGTTTAGCATTAAAACATTTATAGTTTCTCGTAGTTCATATTCATTATTGTTATGTTATTATTATTATTATTGGACTGCAGTACTATTATTCATTCTCTATCAATCATATTCTTGCTTCTGTATTCTTCCTGTGTTTTAATTTTTCTAACAATTTTTATACTCCTATTTTTTAACCCGTCATATTTTCGTGTTTTAACCCTAATCAAGAAATTTATTTTTGAGTCGTTAAGGCTGAGAGTAATTACAGGATAACTGCTGGGTTAACGCATTTATAATAAGAGCCAGATTATCTAGATTGATAGCTCGGCAAACTTACTATAACCGGAGTATAAGAAGCACTGTCTCACCCGAAAGGACTCTTACCTGGAAAGAATTTATTCCCTCAGTCTTTTTTTCTCATATCATCCTTCGAATGTCTTCCCCGAAAGTCTCAAGGTTCATGGTAAGGGCATTGAACTTCACTGAATAAAAAACCATTGTTATCCTTTAAAACCCTAATAATAAGTTGCGCTACACGTTACACAAGGCAGATGCCTTAAATTTTTAATAAATTATACTGTTTTAAGCAACGAATTTGCTAAGACAGTTCGCCCACCATCGCTAACTCTTGTCATCTGCGAAATCTCTGAGAATCCTAAGCATCTCTGCCTTCGTTCACATGTGTTGGGATTTCTACGACGTATCATCCGTGACAAAGCGTCTCATCTTTCGCAAAACTTCACAATGAGACGATGTGGTCGTCGTTGGACGAGATCCGATTCTAAAGAGATCATTTGTGCCCATGGAATTCTTTATAATGTAGGATGTTGGAGTTGGAGAACGGACACCGTAGGTAAAATTAGAAAGTAAGTAAAAGTTTGGAAAATCGATACACAGAGAGTTAATTTTGGAACAAAGTAAACGTGATATGTTATGTTAGGGCTCATCGATCGATTGATATGTATATTAAATACGCATGTTCTTTAAATGTTTTTAATACGTTGTTAGCAGATTTTTATGCACATATAATTCTTGGGTTATTTAGGGTCTCATAAAATGTGCAGTGACAAGGGATGGGTGAATCGACCAGGCACAAATTCAGAATGGACCGACTACTCCGGTTGTACAATGGTCCAACAGGTGTTTTTTTCCTTAAATAAGCTTAAACCTTTCAATTTTTTTCTGAAATTTAACTGTCTTTAGGTAAAAGAGTGTAAAGAAATGGAAGAGACGTCTTTAATGGAAACTGAAACGAATGAGATGATTATATCAGTAAGAGAGGAAGAAACTATGAAGAAATTAACGCTTAAAGAAGCACGCTTTCTTCTCTTAAAGTTGTTTGAGTTCAGAAATTCTTCGGCTTCTATGGTATTTGAAATTGGAAGCCCTTCGTCTTGTCGCTCTCAGTTTCTTAGAATTGGTTTTGAGTGAACGAAGCGTAGCAGCCCGTCGATCTTGTTCTTAAGACATTATTTGTTTCGGTTCAATTTTTAAATTATTTTGTGTGTAGCTGATGAATGTTGTCGAGTCACGAATGAAAATACCTCTAAGCATGAGAAAGAAAGAAAAAAAGAATGCATGAGAAAAACAAAAGGAACAAAATCGCTTTAAAAAAGTTTGTAAAGGCATTAACTTCGCAAAATTTTTTACGAAAACTTAGTAAAGCGGACTGAAGGCTTCTGTTTCTTTCGCATCGTTAGCTAGTAGAAGTGAAGCCAAGCGTAACATTTATCAATCATGCCACCATTTCATTATTAACCTTATTATTTTTGATGTAAGAACACAAATCCGTGGCGCATTGATTTCAATGCGCACAACAAAGCATTGGTTAGCAAATATTTTGCTGTATTGCTAAATAGTTGCGCTTATTGTCATATGGCGATTAGGAATGTGTTGATAATAGAGTGCAATCGTCCTAAATTTTAAGACACAAAAACATGCTGGATATAGCTGAATGATTAAGGACGATTCGCAATACGCGCATAGTCCTTGGTTCGAAATCGCTTTCCAGCTTGGTTAATTCTGGGTAGTTCTTATATTGGTGTCTATCTGGGAAGACAAAAAACGAAAAACGCTGTAGTGATAGGTCCGTAGACTTCCGTAAGTATAGTATATAAGTATCCGTATACAGGTTAAATGTGTAGTCAAACACCTCTACGATACTGCGATTCACCTGGCGGCTCATGGCGCACTTATGAGAGATTGGTCAATCCTAAATACTTTTATCCTTTATATGATTTTTGCACAAACTCTCTTTTTTTATTTTTTTTTTTGCAAGACCCGACGTCAGGGACGTTGTTGGTTCTCTTCCACTTCTTCCACTCAATTCCTTTCCTCCTCTCCAGCATCCATTAATATTTCTAACTTTGTGTGCGTGTGTGTGTGTGTGTGTGTGTGTGTGTGTGTGTGTGCGTTCAGCTGCTGCTTTTGGACTTATTGGTCTTCTGAAAGCACGTGAATGCTGACCGAGTCGGCTGTCCTTAACACTCCGAAGAGATAGGATAACTTGGCTCTCATGGCGGAGCCGAACTAGGGCCTTGTGCCTACTAAACAGCACCATTACTCTATTTTGCCCTAGCGTTGCTGTAATATTTTCAGGTCGGTGTTGGGCTATAAAGGGCTAGAAGGCATTGTAGTGAGCATTATGTGTCAAAATACCGGCCAAAGTGAAAAGGTCCACTGTGTTTAAGAAAAAGCCTTTCCTTCGTTGTAGAAGGAAATGATGTTTTCCACAACAAATATTGTTCATAACAACTATGGTTTTAAATTTGTACCAAAAAAGAGTTATGCTGAATACATCAACAATAATTTTTTCTCAGTTCATCAGGTTGCCTGTCGGTATGGATTTGGTCGAAATTACTCATAATGAGGAATTTCATATGAAAATACGCAGTGATTTTCAAATTTTTGTCGAACAAGGTTTAATAGGTAGCTCAGGGCTGATATAGGGACACAAAGAAAATATCTTGCTACCTGCTTGAGTTAATGGATGAACCGTGAGAGCAACAGGTGCTGAAGAAGTGATAGAAGAACGTTCCATATCCGTTTCTGTCGTGGATTCCGAATATATTGGCACTCAATGTCATCGGCAACTATTGCTATTACGTCTATTCGCTGTTTCGCGACCATTTGGTGATATATTGGAATTTTATGAATGAAAAGCGTGGCGATTAGTGCTTCTCAATTACTGCTCTCTGAACCAGGAGGCTTATTTGATCAAAGCCCACTGAAAGACACTGAGCGGCTGAGCAGCAAGGGAAACGGCGAGAATATTTGCTGAGTGAAATTGGTCAGCAAGAAACCTATTAAACTCGACTAACACTTACGGTCGATTACGGTCGCTTTACGATACGAACATCGAAAGACGATGCACGACTGGAAACTCTCATGTCCTCTGCGTGAAAAATTTCTTCCTTCGTGTGCTTATATAAACGCTTTAAAGAATACCTCTAAGTGCAACAGGCGAACCGAAAAGGTAATAAAAGTGTCAAGGCTCAGCATCAAAGAAATATCACTGTCAAGTCTTATACTGAATTCGTTTCCATGAATCTGTCATCTAACTCACGACGCTCCTTGGATTTGGATGTGATTTCGGGTGCTACACGAGAATTTTACCTTTTTAATGAATGTCGTTGAACATCGAGTGGGAAGGTTCTCCGAGCAATATTGGCATAACCGTATTAGTGTGTCCCTAGGTCGCGTGGATACGTGGCAACTCCCCAGCCAAGTCTGGGACTGACCCAGGTGGAATAGGAAGCCTTCATAACTTGGCGTAAGTTCGAACCAAAGACCATATGTGTATTGCATAGAATTGCTAACTCCTCCGCCTCTTGCAGTTCCTGACACTGTGAGCCAGAAAATTTGTAAAATCCCAGAGTTCTTTTATAATTAAACAAACTTCTTTACACTCTAAATGGTAGAGCACAATAGTTTTGGAAAATTTTACGCCGTGGGTGTTATTACCTGACATCTGTGTCACCTGTGGTCTCGCAAATAACCAATTAGCTCAGGCTGGTACCAGTAAACTCCATTTGTCCCTGTTGCGCACTAAAGTCAGAAAATGGGTACGAAGTCTTGGCATAAGTTTACTTTTACCTTTGCTCCTGGATGGAAATAACAAATACGGTAACTCAAAAGACGCTGTCGAAAATGAACGTAGCAGTTGGACACCAACGAGCACCTACTAATGAAGATGAGGCAATAAACCATTGGATAAATTGAACCTTGTAATTTCAAAATCTCTAAAGAAAGTTGAATGTCTATCATTTGGAGATCTTCATGAAGAAAACTTGGTGTTGCTGCAGAAATCGTATATCTTTAAGGACCTTCATACTGTAATATTTTCAGAGAAAGAATTGTGGCAATGACTCTTTATTCTTGTAAAAAATATTGAGCATCTAAATAACCATCCTACAGGAATCTCGTCGGCCCTAAAGCGTCTTTTCTTTTCGTCTGGTCTTCATTTCAACCAGTCTACGACCTTTATAAATCATTCGAGGAATTTTTCTATATTGGGGCTGTGTTTTGCCAGAAGGATGGGAGCTCATATTTTCGGATTCAAAGTCGTTAATGCCATAGATTCTGTTGCGGATTGGCCGACAGATGACAAATCCGTTACCGTAGATAGCACTTCGGTTTTCAGCAACATACGGTCATCGTGGTAAGATAGAGAATCATTTAGAGCACTGGTGACTTATTATTGAAAAGGTTTTCTTTTATAGTCAAACTCATATTTTACTGATAACAGGCTATTTTTACCGCGACAGGAAAAAAAGAAGGGACGGAGATGTGTCTATGGCTTTTTGATCAACCAAAAAGATTGTTTTATTAAGGCACAAGAAAGAGTACTATAAATAATAAACAAATAAATAATTCAGCTTTAGTCCTAGTAAGCATCTTTTACAGAAAAACAAAGCAATGCCGGGCAAATAGACAATCAATAGTACGTTATGAATGATTAGGAATGACAGCACTTTTGAACACCTTGACATTACCATAATGTTGCTGAGATACTTGCAAAACTACGAGCGGCCGGTGACTACGGTGAAGACCGAACACACTATTACCCTTTCCGAGGACTAACGTGTTCACAACCACACCATGCGAGTCCTTCGCTTCACCTTTCTCTCAGCCGTGACCCATAGGCGCTCTCGGCAATCACCCCTCAACGGGATTGACGAAAATTCTTGGAATCTTGACATAAATTCGAAAGAAATAGTTTTTGTGTCTTCAAGTCATGAACGAAGTTTTCTTGAAAACAACCCTGTTACAGTGTTCCCGTTCAGGTTAGAAGTTAAACTATACGGCTGGCTCCACTAGTTTTCTCCATTTTTTCGATTTTTCCATTTTCTTTGGATCAGATAACGTGTAAGTTTGGCTGTCAATATGTGGGACATTTCAGGCTACCCATACATGCTTTATGCGGGTAACGATACCGATCATTTCAGGAGGCTCACGTGAAGTTGCTAGCCGGAATTATCGCGTTTTCGATAAGCGTTGTATGCCTCACACCTGCTATATTCGTTTTGTGGTTTTTTCGGTATGAAGTTATTTTAATCCACCCAGCATTAAGTTACTGAACCAGAAGCAAATTTCGTCTTCCCACCTTATTGTATGGTCCGCTCATCTGTACTTGGTTCCTATCGAACCTACCTAAGTGACTGGGCTTCGATGATGAGATACTCTTCAAAGATCTTAACAATTAAAACCGGCTTGACGTTGAGTGCGCTGGTTCATTCTCTTAAAGGCAATCCGCGAGTGTTTTTTGCATTGTATATTGCTCTATTGATGTGGTAAATGTAGCAGATTGAGGATTTTACTCTGGTGCCTTTCTAGAAATTGCATTAATCGCCATTCTCCTGAGCAATCTGTTTTTAACCCAATGCAATCTCTGAGTGCCTTTTTAAGAAAGACTAAAGAGCGTCACGGTCGCTCAACAGCTGACAGTAATTGCAAAAAAAATGCTCCCATCGAATTTAAATCGTACTAGATGTTGTCTCAGACCCCCCTTTCGTTTTCTTTTTTAGGTTCTTCATAGATGGACAGAATTTGAATGCGCCGTTGTTTCAGGCCAATGAGGCATCAGCCGATGTTCATCGTTCACCGTCATCTGCTCACTTCATTTTTACTTGCGGGTCTATTCTACCTTTTCAATTGCTTCTTCTATATCGTTGATGGAGCACCCGGCGATAGGCTAATATTTGCCAATCATGTACGTTTTTTTCGTCTTTTGATATTGAATGGTGGTTTACAACCTCATCTTGGCTTAGACGTGTTCCCCAATTTCCAACGAGGTTCCTTTTCCCAATAAGATCTATCGTCTTAAACATAAGCTCGACATTTTCACCCAGAAACTCAGCATTGAGTAAACCAGCACCAAGATTTCCTACTATCCTGGGAATAGAATGGGCACTAGCTGCCTTGTCGTGACAACCTAGGAATGTGCTAGCTACACTCGAGACTAAAGGTGACAACAATAATCTTGCCCAGTCAGTAGGTTATCTGTGAAATAGCAGCTGTCATCTGTACTAGGCCCTGCACGATTTTTCGAGATTCCTGATTATGATCCATATACGTTTCAAACAGTTATGACGTTTGAATATGGATAGATGTCGTAGAAATGTTTTTTTTTACGAAGCACTATATTTTTCACAAGCATTCCTAAGCTTTGCTGAGCATATTCTCCATTTTTTAGTTGACTGCTGCTAAATAAAAGCACTGCGTGTCCAAAGGTAGTGATTAAAAAGTGCTATGTAAGGCATAAAAAATCCATCCGTTCTCATTTATTTGACCGGTTGAGCTCGATCATACACCCATTTAAACAAGTTCATCCCAGTTAACAAAAAAAATATGTTAATCTATTAATTTTATAGATCTCTTGACCAAAGGGCACGTGTGGCGCAGTGGTCGAACGCGTCCTGAAATACACACGTGGGATCGATCCTAGCGCCCCTAACCCACCAAGTCTTCCATCCCTCCGGGTTTGGAAAGTTGGTACAGGACTTGTCTGCAAAGGTAGCAGCACTGGCTCGATGCATCGATAGGCCACCCTGAGTCATTGTAAAGGCCAGATATGCATTCAATCACCTCCGAACGATGTTTAGTGAAGTTGAATACATGACGCATCACTCAGGGATTGACCAACGTCGAGAGCTTTAGCTTTATCCTTTATCCTGGACCAGTTAAAAAATACATAGCAGTTTGATGAAAGTTTTTGCTATACTTGACTTCGGTGTATCTGATATTTTTTTTGAAGTTCATGAATAGACATAAGAAGCTGGCTCTTAACCGTCAGCTGAACTTTACAAACTCTCGGATGAAGTTTTTAGAGATTTTCATGGTAATTTATTTGCACGCTTATACGTGTACAAACATTATTGTTCGGAAGCATTTCTCTTGTTAACCGTACGCTTTTCAAATAAGAATGGGTTAAATGGAACCTCATAAGTGGAGGGTGCTTTTCTAGCAGTGATAAAATTTTCCTACAAAAAACGTAAAAACAGCCGGAAAAAGTTTAACTAAAAACAAGCGATGAGGAATAAAGTTTTAGGCCTTCATCAGTTCCTAAAAAATGCGCCGTGTAACCGACTTTATCCAGAATCGTTGAGATGATTGAATATATCTGGCCTGTACAACCACTTGAGATGACTCACAAATGTATCACGGTTCTGCTATTTCTCCAGATAGTCTGCTACCAATTTTTCGACACCAGAAGACGGAGCTTTTAGCTTTACAGGAAAGTCAGGTCGAACAAGTGATTCCCGTGTATACCCCTTCAAGGTACCCTACTCACTCACTACGCTACCATAACCCGTTACTAAAACTACTGCACAGATTCTAAATGGATGTCAGAGCTCTAAGGTTGGCAAAGCATTTTGGATATTCTGGAGTAGTTGGCATCGTAGATGGTATTGGTCTAATGAATGTTTAAATTCCAAGCATTCTTTAGCCAACTACAGTAATCGTTTAGTCTTTCACCCCTCTCGAAATTCGAAATGTGAAAGCTGTCGAATGACGGAATAGATCTCCGTGGTTTTTATTGCACATACTCCTTTTAAGCATATTGTTTAAGTACTACTTTGAAGAGATTAGAAAAGGGCTTCAAAATTGAAGACTATATGAAGGCTTAGTTTTCCAAATTGCTTCCCGCCTTCAATTTTGGCCCATGTTCCTTAGTTGGTGCAACTTCGCTATAACGAACTCAAGATTTTAAAGTTGGGGTGGAAACAAAACTCGCTTCATAATCGGTTGTTTCATCACCTATCGTGGTTTAAATAATTCCTTTTTCTTCTAACGAGGCCATTCACGAAACCATAAAAAAGAAGCCAGAAAAAACTGGAGTCCAAGTGGGATTGAAAAAGCCCGTCAAACTGTTGTTCCAATATCAAACTTCGAGAAATCTCAAATCTGAATTGTTCCAGATCTCATGCCGGTTGCTGTTTTTGATTCAATTGCGCTTTCTTCGTTTGGTGACGTTCAGCTGGATGCTGGCCGAAGGCGTCTACTTGTTCCGTCTACTTCAGAGTGACAGCGCCGATGGTGACAGGCTCACCATCTATAAACTGCTATGTTGGGGTTTGTTTCCGAGACACCAGAAGCATTATTGAAAGTCTCACGGTACACCCAATTTGAACATTAACGACGGTGCAAAACATAGGTATTAATTGACTGTAACGAGAGTTCAACACGGTTTTCCTATTTTCAAACTAGGCCTAATCAAGCAGCCTAATCAAATTTCTGTTCTTTCTATCGATCCCCGCTTGTGGCATAGTGGTCGGAGGCTCTCTTGCAGCATACACATGGGATCGATCCCTGCGCCGTAACGCACAAAGCCTTCCAACCCTCCAGAATCGGTAAATTGGTACCAGACTTGTCTGGAAAGATAGCAGCACTGGCTGGCTCGAAACATTGGTAGGCCACAACAAGTCATTGTAAAAGCCAGATATGCATTGCATTCAGTCACCTCCAAGCGTTGTTTGATGAAGTCGAATGCATGGCGCATCGCTCAGGGATTGATCAACACCGAGAGCTTCATCCTTTTATTTATCTATCGATCCTTTTAGAAGTGTCGATACTTACCTATTTGATAAATGCCTAATCCTAATAGGTCTTCATTTTTCCTTCGCTTGCTTTTAAAGGGTATAATCTCAAAATGGAAAAGTAAGTATCTCATAATTGTTTGAAGTATTCCGTATTTTAAATGTTTTGCCTTTTTGCACTCATTTTGTGGGAAAATGACTAACAAATAATCTTAGACCTCTTGCATGTTAAGCACAAACGTTTTCTAACCTGGTTAGTTTCTAGGTCATCTTCATTGAAACTCATTCATAATGGCAATTTATCGACGCCAATGGTTTTTTGTACTTTTCTTGGGTTGAACTTTTTTCTTTCTGGGAAAATGGAAAGAAATGAGACAACGAAAAATGGAAAGAGTGCTTAGAAAAGAAAGAGAATGCCTGAATATAATGCCTATCTCAGGCGTACCGGCGGTGATCTCAGTGGCATATGGTATTCTTCGCGAAAGTCTTGACAACGAAGGATGCTGGGTGTCGCCTTCAGTGAATGCCTGGATTGAATCTACCATCATCATTCCATGTATTCTGGCTTTATGCGTAAGTCATAAACATCTTTTTTCCTCTCAATAACAGTGGTTTTTTCCTATACATATATATTACATATATGCATACATATCAAGCCTGACCTGCACAGACTGTTATGGATTGTTAGTGCCCGTGAATAGTTGAAATTCTTACCCATAGAGACTTTAATGGCGGAGTTTGTGTTGCGTGAAATCAAAATATTCCTCATGTTCTATCTTTGGTATTTCCGTTATCCTAACTTTCGATTGGTACATCAGTTTGAGGCTAACAAGATTAGCCGATGCAAATTCCGCTTTTCTCGTTTATGGATGATTATACTCCAACTGCCCGATCCCTCTTATGTGAGCGGAATGGTTAGGTTTTTTGGTTAGTTGGTCGAATAAACCAATTCAAAGTGAATTCAGCACTGATCGATTGCTGATGACACTAGTAAATAGAAGACTAGTTGAGAGACGGGCGAAACGAATGACCCGCATGGTGTGGTGGTGAACGCATTAGCCCCCGGAAAAGTTAGTACCGCGTTCGTTCACCACCTCGGACACTTGCGGTCCGGAGTTATGTAAATATCTCAGCATCGTTGTGAAAATGAATTCGTCTACGAGCAAAAGTTCACAAAAATTTTTTAATTGAAAGCAAAGAGCAAGCGAGAAAACAGTTTTTTCCTTAACAACGAAACAGTGAGAACTAACGACATTTTTTTTCAATTTTTAAAAACCAGGTTTAGTTAATATGTCTACTCACGTTCTTCTATTACGAAATAAACACTTTGGAAGCGTCGTCAAATCTGAAAAGAGTCAGAAAGCCTCATTTTTACAAAAAGCTCCAATCTACGACATTTGCAGGTAAACGTAGTTCTGATGTCGTGGATACTGTACATTCTTGTGAATAAACTACGTCATGATCCACATTTGGAACGAATCCAGTACAAGTGAGTCTTTTTTTTGGAGTTTTCTGAAGATCTAATCGCTCTTCGACCGATGAGGAGGTCAGAAGTCAGGAGTCTTTGCGATAGGCTTTTTTCTGAAAAGCAAACGTCCTTTGTGAAGAGTGACAACTTTGATCGCTATTCTCTTTTCTGCAACCGACTGCCGATGTCAGTCGTTCGATAAAAAAGTGCTGACGTCCAGATTTACATATCCGTATCCTAGGGATTGTGATATTTAAGCCAATAGATGCTTGGAATTGAAACTTTTTGAAGAGTGCTTAAAAATATCATTGTTGTCATTATTAATGGGAGTATTGGGCAAGCAAGTGATCGTTGAATTAGGACGAGTTGTCGCGGCTGTGGTTATAAATTTTAATTTTCATTGTGCCTCGTCTTTTCTCTTCACTTTCTACTTTTGTCGCTTCAATACGTCTATAAATTTAACCGCAACTAACAACAAGGCAACCACCTACACATACAGTGAAACTCGTCCAAAAGCAGCGTTCACCTATTGCAATGGGTAAAGTTGTATTCATGAGGCTAACAGAACCCCTCACCGTTTGAGGCTGTTTGTGAGTATAAATTGAAACAGAAAGTGAAGCCATAAATAAAGATATTTTTGTACAAGTTTTGTTTTCCATAGAATTATGCTCAATTATACTTTTCTTTATAATATCTCGATTATAAAAGAAGAAAAACTCGATATCAGGAACAGAAAGCGCTTTCGACTGAAGAAGAAGAAACCCAGTAAAAAATGTTGTTGATCGGTTATTTCTTTAGAAGTCAATTTAAATGAAATTGTATATATAGAACAGTCTCCAAAGGTATAGCAAAGTTGTAAAGGGTCTCGATAGGTTGCTGAACATAAAAACTAGAAAGAATCGATATCACATTTACTGAACGCGTTTTGTAAACCTTATATGAACTTTTTCTTGAATTTTACCTTTCAAAATCGGACAAATCCAAGTGTGTGCATATACGGAAATACACAGCAACCATATATGACCTGATATATTGCGATTCTTTGGCGAGTACGGAAGTTACAGCGTCGAATATTCGAACATTCGACATTTGTCCGCTGCGAATTGGACCTAAACACAATTTCGCATGCAGATTATGTGCGTATAATTGAATATGAAATTGTCGGCGTCAAGTGTATACATAATTTAGAGCTGGTCTTAACGAGTAGGGACATTCAGTAAAGTGTTATGGTGAAAAGCGACCTACCAATTTTTTTTCTATTTTGCTATTTTTTAGATAGAATTAGCTTTGGGTTCAATTGTTCCCTATTTAGTCAAATTTATTAAAGCGAAACTTTAAGTGAATATAACAGCAGATAGCTGGAAGTGAAAATTATTTTTTATATGCTAGCCTTTTCTATTTGCTGCCTACTGTAATTTTCACGGCAGCGTATAATGCGCAATACAACCACAATGATGCTGAGATATTTGCAAAACTCCGGACCGGAAGTGTCTGCGGTGGGGAAAGAACGCGGTTCTACCATTTCCGTACGCTAACGCGTTCACCACTACACCATGCGGGTACTTCGTTTTGCTTGTCTCCCAGCTAGTTCTAGTTTTATACCCTGCCGTGAAAACTATGGTAAGCAGCAAATAAAAAAAGTTGGTATTGTGATTTCAACTGCAGCCTTGGCTTAACTGGGTTCAATGCCGATTTGGGCTCCCTAGATCAATCCCGTTGACGGGTGATTGCTGATGGCTCTGAACGATAGAAAGCTAGCTTAGAGACAAGCGAAAGGAAGGACTCTCATGGTATGGTGGCGTACGCGTTAGCTCTCGGAAAGAGTAAAAGCGCGCTTGTTCTTCACCGTCGACACTCTTTAGATGTTTACAGCACACAATTTTTAGGTGAAAAAAGTAACTGCTAGATGTTTTTCTACAATGAAATCGGCTGTAAATAGTGGGGAAAAATTTGTTTAGATATAGCATGAAAGCAAATCAGCTTAAATGTCAACAGCAACCAAACATTTGGTTTTAAATCGAACTAACTAAATGTGACAGATATACATTTCATGCATGACATAGGAATGTTACAATTTAAACAAAATCTGTACTAGTTGATTATGTAAACCGAATCTTAGGACCGGAATGGTGGACAACGATGAGATTAATGGGCTTAGCCGAACCCGAAGCCGAATTCTGTCGTCTACACCGATTTGCATGGGTTCAGACTACGTGAAAGAGGAGAAAACCGTTTCATGATTGTTAAACGACTGCACAAGAGGTTAAAGGTCACCAATGGCTTACATTGAAACGCCAGCTCACCAATTATCCCGTGGACGCGCATAACTCATCGGAATCTCGTCCAGCTCGTTTTCAAACCAACGACGACGCTCATCCTCGTTCGATACCAACATTAGAGGTATTCTATAGCGGTGTTTTTCTCGACTCAACATGAACGAATTCTTGCGAGGGCCATCTCATTGATTAAGTTTATTTTTATTTATGCACATGTTCCAAAAAAGCACTTGATGTTCATTTATTTCTGTTTTTCTACGAATTAAAACTGAATCATCGATTACCTATCACCTGTATTCCCGTTGATCACTAACTAACTTAAGTGGACACTAGAAGAGTAACCATTTGTCCCACTCGTCCATCAGAGAATTTCTCATAGGTCGGTTTTTTCCAGGAACCCTGAGAGCATAACATCTTAAATGCAAAGTACTTTACTTTCGTTTATTCGTTCGAATCTGTCATGGCCCAAATTTATTTTCAGCTAGGCTTTCAGACAAAAATATCACGCTCTTCGGCTTAGGTTATACTACTGGGATAAATAGAACTATTGCTGCTTATATGCACAATTCAACACTTGGGAGGCTGCTCCAACTATAACAAGAAGGTATTAAGAGGTCTACTTGCGTAGTAGGTCTTCATTGCAGCTGTGTTTCCTCACTAGCACTTTTTTGAGCTACCATGATACCAGTGGAATGTCCACAGTAGTTCTTCTCACCAAGCAGTGCTCTTCTACACAAGATATTGGGAACCACCTTCTACTCTTTGCCTCATTCATACAGTGCTCCACTGTAATGAATTTAACTCTGTGAGACTGTAAAACTCATATTCCAATGAAGAACTACTTTCGATATCCGAATGGAATTATTGTAGTTCTAAAGAAGGTGATGTTGGCGAACGATTAACGATAATAACGGAACAACATCACTCAAGCTTCTCAGCTTCTCGAGATATTGACTATTCATGGCAAGGATAAATAGAAGCTGGTAATGTAAGAGGTTACGTAACACAAAACATAACATAACTTTCTAACATAACTTCTATTTTTAACATAACTTTAACAATTTAACATAACTTTTTCGACAAAAGAGAGCTACACCGCGATTTAGCACCCAACGTTTCTCACTTCCTTATGACTATGGCTAACATTTTCTCTTGGAATTTCTTAACTAATCACGTTTTCTCCGAGTCACCGATATCAAATTTCTTGATTTTCGATCTTCCGACTGTAATGGATTGAATTACCCCCAGGTGTTGCAGTACGACATTGTCGGCTGTTGCATAGAACTTTGCAAGAGAGAATATCATGGACTTTTGCTTGGAGCTCATAATCTCTAATTACTGATGAAATGTTCAAACAATTAGTTCAAGGAAAAAGTTTAGAAATTCTTTCTTATAATATTAAGCTTTTATGTACTGCCTATTATAGTTTATGACGACAGAGTATTATGTGAAATGCAACCACAACGATGCTAAGATAATCTTAACTGTTTTATTTGCCGTCTACTATTTTTAATGGCAGGGTATAATGCGAAATATAACTTCAACGATGCTGAGATATTTGCAAAACTCCGGACCGCAGGGGTCCGCGGTGGGAAACCAACCCGCTACTGTCCTTTCCGGGGAGGGCCCCACAGACCAATTCTGCTGACGGATGATTCCTGTGGTAAAGATCGATAGAACTAGCTGAGAGACAGGTGAAACGAAGGACTTGCATGGTGTGGTGATGAACTCGTTACTCCCCTGAAGAGACAATAGCGCGTTCGTTCCCCACCGCATACACCTGCAGTCCGGAGTTTTGCAAATATCACAGCATCATTGAAGTTATATCTCAGCGTCGTTGAAGATGGTGAGATAATCGCAAAACTTGGACTTTAGTCCAGATCAAAGCACGATTACCCATTCCGATGGTTCGAGTGTTACACACTACACCGCCGAGGCCATAGCTTTGCCTTTCTCTCAGCCTGAAAAAGCTGGTCTGGGATCCAACTTTTGTAAATATTTCAGCGTCATTGTGGTTGTCTTCTTATAATTTAAATAATAAAGGTTGAAGGGCAAACCTCTCAGCGTTGATCAATCCCTGAGGGCTCCGTCATGCTTTCGACTTCACTAGGCATCGTTGGAGGTGACTAAATGCATATCTGACCTTTACAATAATTTTCGATGGTCTTCCGATTATTGAACCAGTGCTTCTATCCTCCCTGACAGGTCTTGCACCGATTTGGCGGCCCCAGAGGGAAGAAAGGCTTGGTGGGCCTGGGCGTGGAATCAATACCATGTCTATTGCAAGACGCCTCTAACCGCTGGACTACATGCGCCTTCAATATATTTCTATTTTAAGTAATGAATTTGTTTGACTCCTCCTAAAGTTTGCCACCCTGCCATGACTGCTGGGCATTCGTGGGCATTTCTTAAATTGCGACTCTGGGAGATGACAATTTAGAACGAAAGCTCTGAATCATTCAAGACTCCACAGAAAGAAAATCTCACGCAACCAACAAAACACATCACATAGGGATTACGGTGGAGTCTACACGATTTTTGGTGAATCATGAAGACGTGAAAGCGTATCATTTAAGTAACCAAAGGTAAATCGGGTATGGTCTATCAAATTTCGAGGATTTTTGTTTTCACTTATAGAAATTTATGGCATCACCCTAATCCGACACCCTCGCCGTTTCAGGAAAGCAGTTCGAGCAGCAATAATTCTGATACCGGTGTTTGGCTTACAGTTTCTCTTCACGATCTATCGTCTTCCAGATTTGACACATCAAGTTGTCAATCTTATCCTTGATGGACTTCAGGTTTCCATTTGATGTTATACTTTATCAACGAAATCATGAGAATTTTAAGCTTGCAAACGGAGGCTCCGAGCCGATGGCAACTCATTTTTCCTTTCTCTAATTTCTCTTTTTGAGCACAATTATCGTATATGAGAATTGAAAAACTGGACAAATGCCAACAGTGTGATATCACTGATGTTGAAATGAAATGCTCCACCACTTATTTTCTGATCATCCGAAAGCTGAAAGGAGACTTTCGCTAAGAAGCGGTGGCCAATTTGTTTCTCTGAAGAAGTGCAATGGGAAAAATTTGCACTGAGCGTCTTCTATTTGACTCTTGTCTGTTAAAAAAAGTAAACGGATAAAGCGTTCGAGATTTTTCAATACCTTAGAGATGTGCCGTGAATTCCAATCGTAGCATCTTTGAGGTGAATGATTAGGGAATATTAGCCAAAACAATAGTTTTCGGGGTTTCACCAATGTATCAAATCAGTGTTTTTGTCCTCTCGTACAAGTCTCGTATCATCTCTCCCACTATGAAGGGATGGGATTAACAAGAAGGATTCGACTGCGTATCTTTGGCTGGTCAAGTCCCATATGTGACGATGACTGAAAACAAACAAAAGAAGCCACTTTATCAGTGTTGCTATCGATGAGCACTTATAGGGTTGTGTGGTGTCGATCATTTTCTGCTACACGAGCAAATCTGTCTGGGATTCTGCTCGTAAGTGGTGGAAAAGCGTGTGTGATTCGCGATCCATCAAGGCCGATATCCGAGCCCGCATGAGCATTCAAAATGAGACGAAAATCGCACTTATTGATCAATTATGACGAATCGATAGGAGTCGCTGATAATCAACATGTGGTTACCTTTCCTTTGAACGTTCGCCTAATTATGACATTTTTCGGATTCCGATAGAGTTTCTCACACTCTACGAGTCGAATAGATGTTCTCTCTTCCCTTGTATATCACTAAATCTTCTATATCAAACGAACTATTGCAAAATATCATTGGGATAGCAAGTCTTTAGCAACTGTGGAAAGAATGCATCATTCAGTTTTTCTCTAATCTTTGTAGTTTTTTAATATTATTGTAATTGTTGTTGTTATTGTCTTCACAAAGGATTGTTTTGTTAACGATTCGAGATAAAACTATGTCGTTTTTATACTTAGCAAGCCATAGAATCATCATTTGGTGCCTACACAATAGGGCTTCACTTCGCCGACTGGGATCGTGCATTGACCTCAATGCGCGCTTTTGTTATCCTCTCCTTCTTCCCAATAGAAAAGGAGATATCATGTATCTCTACATCAGCAACAGTTTCTGGATTACTTTGTTGATGGGAAAAACGGAAGAAATCGCTGCGGGACTCGCATTAAAAATATCTGTGCACTCTGCTCATCTGTAGTACTCTTCCCAATGTAAGTATCTTATTACCCTCCTCACCTGCAACAGTCGTGTACCAAAGCAAGCAAAATCGCCCGAGAAACAGTTCCACAAAGGGTATAAATTGGGTTTTGCAGACGTCTATTACAGCATTTTACGGCTTAGGAGCTATCGATCGGGTGCAAAAACATAACGGATAAATAAAGGATAGAGCTCTTGGCGTTGGTCAAGCCTTGAGGGATATTCCATACATTCGACTTCATCATGCACTGTCATATACTATTAAACGCGTATCTGGCTATGTCTTGTGGTGACCCCCCGATATATCAAATCAGTTCAGTTATCCCCATACAAGTCATGTACCAATTTGCTGACCTTGAGGGATAGATGATTTGGTGAGGACAGTGGAATTGAACCAAAGACAACGTTTGTATTGCAGGTCACCCTTAGCCATCCCACACAAAGATCGTACAAAAAGTTTAGCGAAACAAATACTCTTGGTGGCAGTGAACAACGAAATCGGTGCGCACTGTCGTTAATGAAAATTTTGTTTAGGCAGTGTAATAACATCTACGACAACATGTCAAAGATTTTACGAAGTTTAACCACAATGATGCTGACATATTCGCTGTATATGGTGTGGTGGTGAACGCGTTAGCCCCCGGAAAGGAAAATAGCTTGTTCGTTCTCCACCGCAGACACCTGCGGTCCGGAGCTTTGCAAATATCTCAGCATCGTTGTGGTTAGCTCGCACGTAATACTCTAAAGTGAAAAAATTGTAAGAGGCAGTAAATAAA